TTAGAAGAGAAAGCGAGAAGCCTGCGAGAAGCCTTGTCCTTCTCTCCTGGTGAAGTCGCTACCCTCCTGAATGAGGCCCTCAACATTCGTCCCTCCGCCAACCATCAAAGGATTCGGGGCGTTGCTTCGGGTTGCACCTTTGGGGCTTATGCTAGGGGGTCCATCAACAAGGGGATTACCTTGGCGACAGGGGAGAGGCCCGAGCTTACCCGATACCTCAATGCCTTTCTGCAACACTCTCTCGGAGACTGTGAGCATCCGTCCGGAACTCCTCCCACATGGGTTGCCCTTGCTGTGTTCCGCGCGCGAGAGGTCTCTCCTCATCGTGACCTTCAAAACGAGATTGGGTCTTGGAACCATGCCGTCCATGTGAAGTGCCCTACCTTGTGGGTTGAGAGTACTCAAGACTCTAACCCGGTCTTTGGAGGAGGAAAGCAAGAGGAAAGCGAGGTCAAGGTTACTTCCGAAAGGGTTTTAGCCGGGAGGGAGGTTCAGTTTCTGGAAGGGGCTGTCACCTTCAATGCCAGAAACTGGCATGCCGTGCCTGCAAGTTCAGATTGGGTCATTGCGGGTTTCACACCACTGGGATGGGACCGTGACCTTTCTGATGCCCTTAGAGGTTTTGGGTTCCCTGTGCCCTCACCGGTGAGGATTGCAATGATCCAAGGAGGAGGGACATCCTCGAGCTCGGGAGAACTTGCTTCCGACCTGCAAGGCGACAGTGCCGCTACCTCTGGCATATCGGGAACAGGTTCCACCCAAGCCTCGATTCAAGTGTCCTCGCTTGGCTCAACTCCTGAAGAGGGCATCGAGCTACCTGACAGGCTTGGTGCCATCAATGACCCCGACTTAGTTAGGGCCCTGGTTACCCTAAACCTCCAACACCGAGTAGAGGGGTTAGAGGCCTTGGGAGTTGAGGTTGCAAGGGACATGCTTTATGTGTACCCAGAAGACTTGCTGGAGGAAGGCTGGTCTCTCGTGGAAACCAGACTTTTCCGTGAGTTGGTTCTGCGGAATCTTGAGCAAGGGCCCACCACTGATGCACGTCCTAGTGGTCCAACACCTGCGACCCCGGCTCAGGCTGGGGTACGAGCCATTGGAGGAAATGGTTCACGACCTACCTTCATCCAGGAGATCCGGCAAAGAAGGCATCAGAGAGCAGCGGAGGAACGAGCTTCCAATGTTTCTGATGATGCCACGGCCGGGTCGTCCGAACCGCCAGAAGGACGACCAGATCCTCGGGTGACACCAGCTATCATCGAAGCACCGGCCCAAGAGGCATTCGATGAGATCCAGCAGTGGACCCCAATTCCGCTTGAGGTTCTGCGACTTGCTGAGGAGCTTGGTTCCGAGGCGGATTTGGTGGCGCGACCTAGTGACATCGAATATGCCAACAACACGTTCGATGATATGGTTCGGGGGTACTTTTGGAATCGGAATGGGTTGCATCCCATCGTCGCTCGCCTGGCCCTGAGAACCTTCGCCAGACACCGCTGTGATGTCCTGGGCCTTTCAGACCGTCACCCTGATGAGGAAGCCCAGGAGGAGTCAACGCTTGAGACTCCGGTGATCCGAATGGCCCTGCATGACCACGAAGACCTTGAAGAACCCCCTCTGGCCAATGCGCATTCCTCATGTTCGAGCCGGATCCCAGCTGCCTTGCTTTCGCCTGCCTACATCATCCTTCAGCAAGGTGTTCAGTTTCCTGAAGAGGTAGACCAGGTGCCACATGTCTCCGAGGTCCAGGCTTGCAAGGCCGAGCTTTACACCCATGACATGGAGGGCAGGCTGGAAGCTCTGCAAGGAAGGCCTCTCGAAACCACTCACACCGTGGCGCCTGCCGAGGTGCGGCGCCATAAGCACCATTGGTTTCAGGCTTTCAAGAAGGAACTTGAGTCACTTGTTGGCAAGGGTGCGATAGAAAGGGTTTCCGGGAAAAGGGCAGCTGAGTTGCTTAATGATCCTGAAAGCACTGTGCTCCACGCCAAGGGAGTATGTACGGTGAAGCCGGGAAAACAGGACGAACCCTACCGTCGAAAGGCTCGGCTTGTCGCTTGCGGAAATGAATCCGGCTTTACGGACGCCGACGACCTTTACGCGTCGGGCGTGGCAGTCGAAGGACTGCGGGCCGCGCTCGTCGAGGCATCCCACAACCAGTGGGGTGCCTATGGCACCGATGTGGCCACAGCGTTCCTCCTTGCACCTTTAGGATCACAGGCGAAGGGACGAAAATACATCTTGAGGCCTCCGCAAATCCTGAGGGACCTCGCCCTCGCCGAGGAGGGCGAGTACTGGGTTATCCGTAAAGCAATATACGGATTAAGGGAGAGTCCACGATGGTGGTCCGAATACCGCGACCAGGCTTTGAAGGGGGTCAAGACAGTGGATCCGACCACAGGGGAGCTCCTAACCCTGGAACAGGGCCAGGTCGATGCTAACATCCTTCGCATCAAAGGGGTGGGGGGTGAGACGCTGGGTCTGATGATCCTCTACGTCGACGACGTGCTCTTTCTCACGACTGAGTCAAGAGCTCGAGCCATCTACGACTACATCAGGACATCCTTGGGTTGGGAACTGGATCCGCTTAAGCAGGCAACTGAGGAGGAGCCCCTAAAGTTCCTTGGGGTGAACATACGACCACTTCCCAAGGCCCCCGGCAAGGAGCCGGGCTTCTCCCTGGAGCAGACTGCCTACATCGAGGAAGTGTTGCATGCGCATGGGTTTTCTGGTCACCCTAGCTTGGTTGCATGCCCGAAGGAACTCCTCCATGATTTTCCAAACGAACCTGCAGGCGCTGATGCCCTGAAGCGTGCGCAGAAAATCACAGGAGAATTGCTATGGATCAGTCAACGCAGCAGGCCAGATATTTCCTACCTGGTGCACACCATGTGCTGCAACACCTCGAAATGTCCGGAAAGAGTTTGCGAAATAGGCCAGCGCCTCCTCAAGTTCCTCGCAGCCACGAAGAATGTCCGGTTGGAACTTAGGGTTTCCGATCCCCATGGAGGTGTTCAGGTTTTCACTGATGCAAGCTTCGCTCCGGAAGGAGCTCACAGCTTCGGTGGGGTACTAATTAAGTACAGGGGAGCCACGGTGTTTTGGAAAGCCACCAAGTTGCCCCTAATCTCCGTCTCCACGGCGGAAGCGGAACTCCAGACCCTAAGCGAAGGGGCTATCTTGGGCCAATCCTTCCTTGCCTCACTTCAGGATGTCACCAATGACATGTCGCCACTTCACCTCCGTTGTGACTCTACCGCCGCTATTGCCCTAGCGGAGGGGTCGTCCAGCCAGAGGACAAGACACCTTAAGGTACGCGCAGCTGCCTTGCGCCAACTTGTCGAGCAGGGGATGTCCCTATCCCACTGTCCGGGGGACATTCAGTGTGCCGATATCCTCACTAAGGCTCTTTCGAGTGCTCGCCTGAGAGACCTGAGCATACTGATAGGCTTGACAAGGGAGAGTGAGGAGCCAACCGCCAGTGTGCAATGCCTCCAGGGTTCTGGGTGTTCGCAAGGTTTAGCAGCATGGGTGGCATTGCTGATGTCGTATGCTGGGGTGATTTACGGTCAAGAGCAGCATGAAGGCCAAGCACCTCCGCCTCCACCACCACTTGTGCATGAGGATCCGCCCGGGGTCTCGGATGACACATGGCTGTATGTTGCACTAGTGGTTGTAGTGATAGCTGCACTTGGGGTTTGGGAATGCCTAAAGGGTGTAGGTAGGGGAGTTTACCGTAGGGTTGAGACCAGGCCCGTAGTCAAGGCCCTTTCCCGCCGGGAAGAGAAGCTGCAGCGAGCTGTGGCTCAAGCCCTTGAAAGGGAATTGCCATCCCCTGACACATCATCCACCACAAGCATCGAGATGCAAGCAAGGAGGAGACACAGGCGAAAACAAACGCCTCCGCCCCCGCCGCCGTGTGATTCACCTCAGGGCTCTGCCTGTGCATCTGGGGATAATCCATGGCTTCGCGCTCCTGTTCCACGACCTCCACCGCCTCATCCACTTCCTCCAACGCCTGCCCGCCCTGCCGAGGGTACCTCGCCTGTGCGCCATGCCGGGGTTGAGAGGGGTGTTAGGGGGGTTTCGGTTGCGGTTCAAACTGAGCCCGTCCTTGTCTTTGGGGTTGACGAGCATGCATACATGACTCCCAAAGGGAAGACTATCCATGATGATATCCATTGTCGTGCCGGCCTCCATCAACCCTTGGGGGTTACTGCGAAGACTCCTTGTAGGCATTGTCTCGGGAGGAAGACACGAAATGGGTAGTAGTGAAAGGCGCCTGGCGGCTTTTTCAAGGAGGAGTGTTGAATGTCCAGACCCTCCACGAGCCCTTTGCCCAGGTGCTTCGCTTCTTCTTTTCCGACTTGTGGTTCAAAGGCATGCAGCACGAGTACATAACCCGAACATGCTTGAAGCACTCAGTAGGGATGTGCTTGGAAGGGGCTGCATGCACCGCAAACACATAGCTTTCAAGAAAGATTTGTAAGTCTGGCTTTGTATAGCACTTGTCAGCTTGCTTTTGTTCTTTCTTCTCTTCTGAGTCCGAGCGTGTTCGCTAGCTGAGAGAAAAGCCATAGGCCGCTCTGCGCTGTGCAGTCTGGGAGACTTTGGGCGATTGGAGTTTCGGAGGTTTTCTTCGGCAAAGAATACAAGGTTCGAGATTTCGGAGGAGGACTCAGTCCACATCGAAGGGGTGCTCTTCGCTGGGGACCTGTTTGAGCCATCAACATATACTTTTAGGGTTCAGGGCGTATTGCCTAGGCTACTCTCACAAGCAACATAGGTCACTAAAGTACACACTGCGCACTTTTTCACCTGTGGCGGCTTTGTATGGTAGAATTCGTTATACTATACTTTCTATAGTTGCTATGTTGTTGAATGCTGTAGTATTGAAAAGTATACCTATAGCATGGATCAGTAGACTTCCCGCTGCAGCATATACAGCTCATACTTGCGGAGTGACAAAATGCAAGAGGGATGCGCGTGCAGAGAGTGTGGAGGATGGAAATTTGAAGGGCTTCGCCTTCATCGAATTCAAGGATGAGGAGGCGGGGTCTAGAGTTCGGGACCTAGTTTCTTGAGTCTCCTGTGCTGAAGTATGTGTAGACTAAGTTGTATACTTGCTTATACTCTAGTAAACGCATTGCGAACTGGATCCAATAGTATACTGTACTATCCTCTGGTAGTGGTATTTATCACGCTAGAAAGAACCGTTTATTATACACAACATGGATCATTCCCGTTTTGATCTACCGTAGCCACTGCGACATGTTGAAACTGTAATGCTCAATCCCGAGGTGAGCCCTTCTTGCAGTCAATGTAGGAATTGAGCTGCGTGTGCAAAACCAGGGCGTCAAGCAGGCGCTGGATTTCAATCAGATCGATTATCACGGAAGGACAATTTTTGTGAACAAGGCAGGAGAAGGCCGGGGTGCACTTCGGGTATTGACCATTTCCTATCGGTAGGGCAGGTCTGGTCGAAGTCTCGGCATCATGGTAGGATGTTTGGTAGCATATGAGTCGTGGGAACAGCAAGCCTGCTCCCGGGTCACTTGCATGTCGCTGACTCCTGCTACGATTTGGGCGCTGCAGGTATGGGGAAGGACGGCGTGGGCAAGGGCAAAGAGAAAGGACAGGGCAAAGGCCATGGTTGGAGATTGTGATGCGTGGTACGATATTCTAGCTTCAGATGGCTTCGAGCTGGTGGTCAGGTGAGAAAGTTAAGAGCAACAACACCAAGGCCTGATGTGCCGGGCGCATATGCTACAGACTTTGTTACAACACTTTGCTGTATACAGTATAGACTCACTCGAGCAAGCGCACACACACTTTCACTCTCACCCGCTCGCTCTCTCACTCCCGCTCTCTCTCTCTCCTCTCTCGCTGGCTCTCGCATGTCCAACCCTCAAATCTTGGTCCAGAGATTTCTCAGTGTTCTCGCGCCGCTCTCTCCTTCTCTCTCTCTCTCTCTCTCTCTCTCTCTCTCTCTCTCTCTCTCTCTCTCTTCTCTCTCTCTCCCTCTCTCTCTCTCTCTCTCTCTCTCTCTCTCTCTCTCTCGCTCTGTGTCTTTCTCACAGGCCACTTTGAATGCCAGCTGGCCCGAGCTTCAAACTCCTGCTGCGCTGCTCCCAAGATTGCTGGACCCGTTCAGGCCATGTGAAAGCCTACACATAAGACATTGCAAACAGAAGTTTTTGAAGTTTTGAGTGATGCTGCAACAAGTGGCGTAGGAGGCCGAACTATGAAGCCACGCTGAAGCCAAAGAAGTCGGACGAAAATAGGCCGGCACCTCGGTCGCTTCCGCAGCTGGCGCCGCCACAGTTCATAGCAGTCTTTCTGCCCAGCGCCGAGGGCCTATCTCGCATCTGGACTCCTCCGAACACCACGGCCATTCAATCCACGCAGTGCTCCGCGGGAGGATGCAGAGTTGCCATGGCCTTAGACACCTCTCCTGAAGAAGATGCAAGTCTGGCATGTGCGTTGTGCTACGCCCGCATGCCAGGACGGCCGGGCAACGTCTTCTTAAGTGCCTCGTATGAAGCTACACAGTGAACTACAGTGGCTTTTATTGAGTTTCCTTGCGCGCCAAACGCTCGGACTCCACGTTCGGATTTGAGGATGCTCAAGCCAAAACAATCGGACGAGAATGCGCTGTTACCTCAGTCGCTTCGGCAGCTGACGCTGCCACAGTAAGTAGCAGTCCTTCTAGCCAATGCCCAAGGCTGAAATGATTTCGCATCTGCACTCCTCCCAAAACTAAGGTCCCAGAACGACGCTCTGCCGGAAAAGGCAGGCAAGAGCTTGCCCTTGACTTCAGATGCCTGAGAGCAGGGTTTCGGGGCCCTAAGGAGGGTGTAGCGTGCCCGAACGTTTAGGCACGAGGACCTGCTCCCTTCGAGCAGGGAGGGGCAAAACTGTAAGGCGGCGTGCGCAGGAGCTAGCTGCCGTCTTTCATTATTCTTTTGTCAATACCCTCTTTGATGTTCTCAGCCCTGAAACTCTAAACCCGAAGCGCCACTTGACCTTGCCAACTTTACTTCCGTGCTTTGCGACAGTTGTTGTTCGGTCCCCCCCCCCCCCCCCAAGCAAACGAAAACAGATGCTAGGCATCATGCCAAGCATGATGGAGCTTCAACTATAGGCTCCGATTCATTTCCTGACCCTCGTATGCTTTGTGCGCTCGCCTCGGATATCTTTTGAAGTTCCATCTACGCTTTGTCCAATTTGATCGGATATGGCAGCCTTGCCAACCAGGGGATCCCAAGCACAAGTCTGTTGAGATCCCATTTCACGGCTTCAAGTGTCGAGAGGCCTAGTGCTGCAACCCTCTGAGGCGACCTTTCGCGTCGCAGGAGCAGGAGACAGCGTTGGATGCCGAAGAGGCCCAAAGGAGGTTTAGGGTTGAAGGGCTGAAGAGGGCTTTGTGTTGAAATTTGCCTTAGAAGGGCCTAGGTATGCCGGAACGCATCTCAAACGCAAGATCTTTGATGCCCCTCCTACAGGATTGTGTCATCCAGGGCTTGACGAAGATTTTTGCACCAGTACCTTCCCTGTTGGCAAGTACTGATGAGTGGGAATGCACTTGAGAATGGCGGCCTGATGTCAAGCAGGTGCCGCTCGAGTATACAGAACCTTCAGGAAGTCTCGCGTCACCGTCGCAGGAATCTACGCAATGACTCCGCAGCAAGGCAAATGAACTTAGATACGTTGCAACCTCGAATGTTGCCACACGTTGGCATGAACGGAACCCAGGGCGTTGAGCCCTACGGCCCTACTTACACCCCGAGCCGCAGCCCATGCCAGTTCATGCAGGCGACCGTCTTTCAGTGAGTGGCTTGCCGTAGCATCGTCAGCGTACTTTTCCAATCTTGTCGCCATAGGCTGCCCATATAGATTACCACGCTGGCGCCTTTGCATCACCATGCTTCTCGCGTCCTTGGGCAGGATGATCATGTTGAAACATCCTTGTGAAGCTTGATAAAAGCGGCCAGAAACTGGCCCGCCACACAGACGTGAGGGTATAGGTGAGGCTTGGAAATTGTCCGTGCCGTTGCAACCTGACTCAGACCCTTTCGCGATTTGCAGCCGACCCCTGCCTGACCATGCAGAGGGGTGTGCAGCGCCGTTTTGCTGGCCCGACCATGGATTGTCCCAAAGTGGATCCGCTCTGCTCTGCAGGAGGGAAGGTGCAACACCTGTCGCAACTAGAATTGGAACCACGAGACGTGGAAAAGCAGGAAGCAACAGCTTCAGATGCATCATGCACCGCATGTCGATCGTCTTCCTTGCTCCTTGCCAGCTTTTCACTTTGCATATGTCGCCTTGCTTGAACATCACACCTATACACTTGTATATAACACCAAGTTCTCCATTATCCATCTGGTATACTCCGGATAATAGGCAATTTTCCTCTACCTAAATCTGGATTTCGAGACTACTTGCGCAAATTCTCCTACACCGAGATCTGGATTTCCCAACTAGTTATCTTGGGCATATTGATTCGCGGGCAAACTTTCTTATAGTGGTATACCAGTTCTACTACTTCTTGCAACTATAACCCGTTAGGATGCACTCCCTTCCATGCGGCCTGCTAGTGATCTTCATGCAGTTTGGACTGGTCACACGCTTCTGAAGACTTCCCCCCTGATTTGTTCAACTGCTATTCTGGCTCGAGCAGCTGTCTTCGCTATATTGTGCTCAACGCCAGGCAGGACAGACTAACTGCTAAGCCCTATAAGCCTTATTGAGTGGATCTTACATCCTCAATTGCAAGTGAGCTCTGGCCACTCTCTTCAGGTCACGCGGAGGTTTTGTAGGCTCCTGATGGGTCTTCCAGTGATGCAGTCTCCATGGGGGGTATTCGGCGGGCCCATGCAGATATGCGAAGGGGCAAGCCCTAAAGCTTCAAACCTCACAAGCCCTGATGGTGAATCAAGTCGCCCGCTATGGCACTTGCTTGGGTTACGCATGAGTGGCAGGTGACTCACCTGCGCAAGAAGTGCAGCATGAACTACGCGGAGCACATGATGCGAATGAACGAACCTGCGGGGAGCCAAGGGAGTGAATGTCATTGAATGCCAGCGAAGGTTGCAGTACTCGTGTGTAGCAGTGCATGCCATGCAGTGCACAAGCGACATTGTCACTGGTTCATTGCGTAGCGTCGTGTGGACAACTGCTTGTTTCAAGAAGTTCACAGATTTTCACAGATTCACTTACCGTCGTCTCGCTCGATGCTTGTGGATGGGATCGAGATCCCGGCGGACCTCAGTGCCGCCTTCTCATCACAAAGAAAGGGGAGCCTGAAAATGTTTGATATGCTTTGTCAGATCCATCCGCATCCTGTCGACTCCGGAACTCGTAGTTCTCTTCACTTGCAGCGGAACTTTGTGCCTGCGAATGTATGCCACTTGAAGATGCTGGCCGACGCTGCCATGTCATAGCGCTTACATGAGCAGTCCGAAAGGATGCACAAAAATCACAACCAGAACACGTGATGGCCCCAAGCACGCTTCATTTGTGACAGCCCATCCATTTACATCGATCTGAATTGTTGCTGTTGCAGCATTGCAGCATCTCAGCCCAAAAAAAAAGACCGTCAACTCTGGACCGCAGTAAACTCCGTAAACTCCATATGTTTAAATTGGCGTGTGTCCCCCACTCCCCACGAGATGCAACCTATACAGCCCCTGTAAGCTTAATTCTCGGCGTTGGGCTTAATTTTTCGGTTTGGTGCATGAAGTCTCGAGGTTAAGTGCAGGACAGGGTTTGCGGTGTCAGGGGCTTCAGGATTCGGGGTCCAGGGAAATATGCTTGCAAGTCGGGGGAGGTGCAAAGCATGTTAGGCCTCTGACTTAAGATTCAAGACCTGAATCCCAACATAATTTCACAGACGCATTGTCCACCACAGAAGAACAATGCCACGGCAGCAGAACGCAATGGAAATCATACAGGCATGCCTCGTTTAGGGTGTGTCAAAACTAGAAGAGGGATGGCCCGAAAGCATCGATTTGCCGTGCGTTGACTCCATGCACTTGACTCTTTGTACTCGAACTGTATGCACTTGGACAAGTGTATGCACTTATACGGTTGCATACTCACTTGTAGACTGCACTTGTACACTGCACGTGCTATGCACTTGAACTGCATGGCATTCAAGTGTGTGGACTTGAATGCCATGCACTTGTGGTCAACTGTATACACTTCATCGGCATTCAATACATCTGAAGTTAGCGGAGTTAACGGTTACCATGCTATTTGCAGTGTTTTCAAGCACCCAGATGTCCGTTACCGTGCTAATTGCGGTGTTTCCAAGCGCCCAGATGTCCGTTACCATGCTCTTTGCGGTGTTTTCAAGCGCCCAGACGTCCGTTACCATGCTATTTGCGGTGTTTTCGAGCGCCCAGATGTCCGTTACCGTGCTATTTGCGGTGTTTTCAAGCGCCCAGATGTCCGTTACCATGCTATTTGCGGTGTTTTCAAGCGCCCAGATGTCCGTTACCATGCTATTTGCAGTGTTTTCAAGCGCCCAGATGTCCGTTACCATGCTATTTGCAGTGTTTTCATGCGCCCAGATGTCCGTTACCGTGCTAATTGCGGTGTTTCCAAGCGCCCAGATGTCCGTTACCATGCTCTTTGCGGTGTTTTCAAGCGCCCAGACGTCCGTTACCATGCTATTTGCGGTGTTTTCGAGCGCCCAGATGTCCGTTACCGTGCTATTTGCGGTGTTTTCAAGCGCCCAGATGTCCGTTACCATGCTATTTGCGGTGTTTTCAAGCGCCCAGACGTCCGTTACCATGCTATTTGCGGTGTTTTCAAGCGCCCAGATGTCCGTTACCATGCTATTTGTGGTGTTTTCATGCGCCCAGATGTCCGTTACCATGCTATTTGCGGTGTTTTCATGCGCCCAGATGTCCGTTACCATGCTATTTGCGGTGTTTTCAAGCGCCCAGATGTCCGTTACCATGCTATTTGTGGTGTTTTCAAGCGCCCAGATGTCCGTTACCATGCTATTTGCGGTGTTTTCATGCGCCCAGATGTCCGTTACCATGCTATTTGCGGTGTTTTCATGCGCCCAGATGTCCGTTACCATGCTATTTGCGGTGTTTTCAGACGCCCAGGGCGTCCGCGGCGTACTGCGTCTGTACTACAAAAAGTCGACTTTCCAGCCACGGAAGCTCCGCGTGTCCGCGGCGTACTACGTTCGTACTACAAAAGTCAAAAGTCGACTTTCCAGCCACGAAAGCTCCGGATGTCCCCGGCGTACTACGTCTGCACTTCCAGCCACAGGCGGGGACGTACTACACTTGTACTATACAAAAGTCGACTTTCCAGCCACGGAAGCTCCGGGTGTCCGCGGCGTACTGCGTTTGTACTACGAAACTCGACTTTCCAGCCACGGAAGCTCCGGGCGTCGCCGGCGTACTACATTTGTACTACAAAAGTCGACTTTCCAGCCGCGGAAGCTCCTGGTGTCCGCGGCGTACTGCGTTGTACTACAAAAGTCGACTTTCCAGCCACGGAAGGTCCGGGCGTCCCCGGCGTACTACATTTGTACTACAAAAGTCAACTTTCCAGCCACGGAAGCTCCGGGCGTCCCCGACGTACTACGTCTGTGCTACAAAAGTCGACTTTCCAGCCACGGAAGCTCCGGGTGTCCGCGGCGCACTACGTTTGTACTACAATTTGTACTACAAAAAGTCGACTTTCCAGCCACGCAAGCTCCGGGTGTCCGCGGCGTACTACGTTTGTACTACAAAAAGACTTTCCAGCCACTGAAGCTCCGGGCGTCCGTGGCGTACTAGATTTGTACTAGAAAAGTCGACTTTCCAGCCACGGAAGCTCCGGGCGTCCCCGACGTACATTTCCAGCCACGGAAGCTCCGGGTGTCCGCGGCGTACTACGTTTGTACTACGCAAGTCGAAAAAAAACGTAAAAACACTACGGTTTTAGCACCGCGACCACGCGAAAACCCGCAGAGGGGTTACGTTTGCATGTCAGGAAACGCAAAAACACGAGGGTTTTGGCACCGCGCCAACGCCGAAACCCGCAGAGGGGTTACGTTTGTATGTCAAAAAACGCAAAAACACGACGGTTTTGGCAACGCGCCAACGCCGAAACCCGCAGAGGGGTTACGTTTGTATGTCGAAAAACGCAAAAACACGACGGTTTTGGCACCGCGCCAATGCCCAAACCCGCAGAGGGTTGTCTGCGCCCACGAAAAAAAGTACAAAAAACGACGGTTTAGCACCGCAACCCGGCGATCACCCGCAGAGGGTTGTCCGCGAACACAAAGAAACGTAAAAAAAACGACTGTTTTAGCACCGCGACCACGCCGAAACCCGCAGAGGGTTGTCCGCGAACACAAAGAAACGTAAAAAAACGACGGTTTTAGCGCCGCGACCACGCCGAAACCCGCAGAGGGTTGCAATCCCGATTGGCGGTGTCAACCCAGCCCGCTGCCTTAGAAAGAGTAATTTTAATTTAGAAATCTAGGACTGGGTACGAAGGTATGCAATTCAGTCTGTGCACTGTGCACTTCACTCTGTGCTTCACTCTATGCACTTCACTCTGTGCACTTCACTCTATGCACTTGACTCTATGCACTTGACTCTATGCACTTCACTCTATGCACTTCACTCTATGCACTTCACTCTATGCACTTCACTCTGTGCTCTGAACTCTATGCACTTGAATCTATGCACTTCACTCTATGCACTGCACTCTATGCACTTCACTCTGTGCACTTGACTCTGTGCACTTCACTCTATGCACTTGACTCTGTGCACTTCACTCTATGCACTTCACTCTATGCACTTCACACTATGCACTTCACTCTATGCACTGCAGGCTATGCATTTCACTCTATGTACTTCACTCTATGTTGTTGTGTCAGGGGGCTCCGCACGGAAGAACCCTTCGCGATGCTTTCGGGAAAAAACCTGATGACCACTGTGACTATAGCAATCTCTTCAGTTGTTGCCTTGGCGCTCGGCTTGCGCGCGGCCCAGGCTTGCTGCGCCGCTTCGGAGGACAGGGTTAGCGCGCCGGCCCTGCGCTGTAAAGCGCTGGCTGGCAGCTGCTCACAAGCCTAAATGTCTAGATGGGGGACGTGGGATGTCAACTACCAGTTGCTGAGGATCTTCTTTTAGCATTTTCCGCTCCCCGTCTCCCATTCTGAGGCTCCCCACCCCCATCTCCATTCAGGGCCTGGGATTCTCCACGGGTAATTTTGCAGCATTGGGCCTGCGATTCGCATACCACAGGTCGTGAAGGCCATGAGGGCTTGCATCAATAAAGGGACCGGTTTGGGTAAGCCGTGCTCGGCCAACGTCATGGCGGATGATCCCAACGAGATGCTCGCCCGTGGCCTGCACATCCGCTCCCAATTCGGACCTCTCGCTGTTGCTTGAGGGATACGTTGCCAGAGGCACAGCCGGAGACACAGCCGTGACCTGTGCTGGGGGCACAGCATGGCGCAGGTTTCGGTTCCAAGTAGTTTTGGGCTATACGCAGTGTACTTAGCGTGCTCCAAAGTTCATCGCAACCTAACATAAATACCGATCGCCCTAGGCCCTAAGAAGCTAGATACCAGATGTTGCCTCTAGCATGAAACTCCATGCCCTAGCCCTACAGACCCTCGAAGACAGCAACCCTAAACCCCACCTAAGCACCCCAAGCCTGGAGACTCCAAACCCAAAGCCCTAAGCCAGAAATCAGCCCACCCCAAGCCCTAAACCGCTAAACCCTCACGCTCAACCCCAACCCCCTAAACCCCTAAACTTCAGCAACACGACCTTGCCCTAAACATAACCCTGACCTCAAGCCCTATGCCCTGAGCCCAAAATCCCAACGCAAGCCATACCCTAAGCCCCCATTGACCCTTAAATGCACACAACCCTAAGCCCCTGAGCAACAGCCAACAAGACCTCAAGCCCTACTCCCCAAATGTGGGAAGCCTAGATGTGTGGAAGGCTCCGCTTCTTTTGGGCCCATGGTCCTGGTTTCTTCCGCCTGCGGTGCATTCCTCGGCCCGTATCAAAGTTGCACCGGATGTCGGGGCGCAGATCGTTTACTCAGGCTCCGCCAGCCTTCCAGGCTCCGGTGTTCGAGGAGAGGCTGTCATCACCTTATTCGAAGGGGCATTCACATACCAGTGGCACCACTATGCGTCTTCCTGGTTTGTGTTTCGCTGCTTGTCACTGAAGGCCTCCTGCGCCGCCGTTTGCGCCAGGAGAGGCCAAGCGCAGCGCTCGGCTGGCATTCATGTGGCCCCTAGATGCAGATGCCCCACCTTGAGCCAAGGCCGCACAAGACCTGTGAAGATCCCAAGGCGCGGGCCAGATCCCTGCCAGAAGAAATGTAGGCTTGGATCCCAAACCCATGCATCCGCTGGCAGGACTGCCCCCCGACCAAAGCAAACGGCCCTTCCCACAAAGAGACGCCAAAGCCTGGATCCTGGCTTTTTGCAGATGCTTCGGGTATTTCGGATATTTAGGAAGTGTGGCTGATTTGACTGTGCAGGCTGAAGAGCGCTGGTGGTCAAAATCGATCACCCAATCCGCCTCCCTTAAGGCACCAGCCGTCATCGTTCGATGACAGGCCCCTGTCGGGTGTACTCCGTGCACTAGGCTTCTGGTGCAGTTTAGCTGTTTTTAGCTTCCGCTTCCGCCGGCCAGGCTGTTGGGTGCCTTGCGGAAGTGCGTCGGCCTCGGGACCTCATGCTTATAAACACTACGAAGGTCTGAATTTTGGCCTTTACTAGGGTCTGCGCATGTCTGTGCTCGAAAATCTCGCTCCCGAAAGTGTTGTCGTGGTTTCGACGTATGTGGTTTACCGCTTTCTCGATCCTTCAGATACGCGTCGGCAAATGCAGTGCCATCGTGTGTCAGGTGTCGAAACCATCTGCGTTTACAGCAGTTTCGTCTCTGTGGCTCTGTGGCCTTTTCACATCCGCGACCTGGACACACATGCCCGAACGACGAAATCCCCATTGCCAGAGCATCCATGTCGTTACTTTACCCAGCGCATCCACGACCAGGGCACCATGCCCGAACGAAGATTATACCATATTATACCCGGCGCATTCAGGACCAGCCAGTTTCGGTCGTTTGTTCTGAACGCACAGCAAAGTGCACATGCCAGCCGTGCAGCTCTCTAACGACACGAGTCAGCAGCGCGTTGTGGCGTTTCTGTTGGGAAATAAGGAAGTAAATGTTTATATTCTTCAGGCTGTTGCTTCTAGAGTAGAGTGGGGGTGAGACTTATAGATGGCGTTCCAGGGTCGCAATACAAGCAGCTGCTTAGCCTGATTGCGGTCAGCATGGGTAGGACAAGGGGATTTGGATGAAGATAGTTAGAGGTTCAACTCCCAGAGTTTGCGCAAGAGGCGACTCGGAGTGGAAGGGCTTTGGGGGAGGCTTGGGGTTAAGTGCTTGCTGCTTTGCGGTTTTTGCATGCTTTAGCCATGCGTAGCGCGGCTTTAGCAACCGGCAGTTACAGTCATAGACACTGCTCTGCTTACCTTTTCAGTGGCCCGATGGGTGTGGAAAGGTATTTTGACAGCTTTCGTGCAGGCTCCTGTCACTCCTGGTATGCCGCCGATCGGACAGCAGCACATGCAGGCTGCGAACGTGTGAAGGGCACTGTGCGAGTGGCTCTTCGGATGTTGGCGCATGTTGGCGCGTGGGAGGCACCCCTCTGAAGAAACCCCAAGCCGCCTGGAAGGTTGAGGGTATACCAGGTATACCCTGAACCCTAAACCCCCAGAGACACAAGCCCTGAAGCTTAAATCCCATATGCCGGCCCAAAACCCGATAGACCCTAGCATTCCTGATCCTGGGCCACTGCTAGCAGGGAGGCCCAGCTGCTCTTTTTCTTTGTGGCTAGTGGCTTAGGGTTTAGGGCTAAAGCCCTCCAACGCCCTGAAGCCCTAACCCAAAACGATTATAACTTAGGAGATTTTGAGGTGGAGGGCCGAGGGGTGGCCTGGGGAGGGCAGCCGAGGGTTCATGTCTTGAAAAGGATCCCAAGAGGTCTACCTAGCCTAAGCTTGACTAAGGCTTTGGAATTTTTGGAATTTTGGGCTTCGTGGTGTAGGCCAGGCCCCAAACCCTATAAGCTTATAAACGTTAGGATAAAATGGGGTGGCAGGATTGAAGGGGGCTCCCGGGAACTCAAAGGAGAGTTCGGGGTTTAGGGTTCATTGGCATTCATCGTTCAGGAAGGATACCACCCTCCCTTCGGCTCAGGCATCGGCAACATCTGAGAGCAGCGAAGCTGATGTAGACAAGTATTGCAGACAGGCGCCCGATCAGTTCCGGACATTGGGGTCCAGGGTTTCAGGTTGAGCCCTGAACTCTATCGCCCCAGCTCTGTAGGAGGGAAAAAACCCCTGACATCACTGAAACCCAAACCCTGTAAACCCTACAAGCCCTATAAACCCTAAATCCATCTAAATCCCTAAGCCCTATAACAGTGGCGAGCGAGCGTCTTTGTTCAGGTTGAGGGCCTTTAGAATTGCATGTGAAAATGGTGTTGCAGGGTGCAAAAGTAGCATGTGGGTCGGGACCCCGCCCACCACAGAATTGCACAAGGCAGGGTAGGGCCACCGGCAGGGTCACCTAAGTTAGGGCAGAAGGCCTGTAACCTGAGAAGTCCTACAGGCCCTAAACCCTGAACCCTGAGACCTGAAACCTCGCAAGAGACGGGTTAAACTGGGGGCTTCCGCAATGTTGCCAGAGATGCCCAAAAGGAACTGACCCAGAACCCTAAAGCCTATAGGCAAATTCCCTTCGAGATATGGTTTTTTTCAGGGTTTTTTTTGGGGTCAAAAGGCTTCAACTAAGGCTATGTTTAAGACTCCTCACGCCATGAGCTATATATACACATACACACACTCAAAGCACACCGCAGAATCCGAAGCACGGGGCCCGTCGCTGGAGTCCTTCTTAGGGAGTTTGAGGACTCCTAAACCCTTTATAAAACTTACAAACCTCCCATAACCTCCCCAAACCCCAAACCGAGCCAGGCTTTCTGTAGATCCCCTTAAAGTTTCTGCCGAGCGCCCAAGAAAGCCTTGGGAGCGGTGAAATTCGTGGCCTTTTGGGGCTTCAGGATGCTTTAGGATGCTTAGGACGCTGGGACCAAAAGGTTTTACAGGGCTGTTTTTTGTTTCAAGAGTTTTGGGTTTAGGGTATTGGAGGGTATTGGGGTTTGTGGTGCTTGTGTAGCGCGAATGATTTGCAACGAGTTTGCTGAGGGTTTAGGGGCTTCCACCTCAAGGCCCCGGATTCCCAGAGCCACCGAGCTTTGCGGATCTTTGCGGGCGCACGCGGTTGCCGGTTTCTGGGTTTAGGGTTTAGGGTTTAAGGTACAAGGTCAGGGGCTAAAGATACGGTCAGCATTGTTTCACCTAGAGATCGCCTCGAGGCCGCTGTGACCTCATTGATCTTTCTGCATGGCTGCCAAAATCGGCCTCTGCCAATGCTTTCTGATCTGGGTTTATTGATCCCAAAACCCTATAGTATATACATATCTGTATAGAGCGTTGGTCAGAATAACGGATCATGCGGCAACAATGACGAATTCGTTGGTCCTAATGACGAATCCGTTGGTCCTAATGACGAACTTGTTGGCTGCTAATACCGAATCGGTCGGTATTAGCAGGTCGGTGGCTGCTTCTGATGGGTCTTGTATAGCTGGTCTCGTATGGCTTGATGCGATTGTGAACAGATTAGCATCAGTTTGTGAACAGATTAGCATCACTTTGTGAACAGATTAGCATCACATTGTGAACAGATTAGCATCACTTTGTGACAAGATTAGCATCACTTTGTGAACAGATCAGTCTGTGAACAGATTAGCAGCAATTTGTGATAGCAGATGAGCATCAAGTTCCGCATGCGGAGTCCCTGTACAGCTTGCAGGCTCACTGGTGCCAATGGTTCTCGAAGTCGCCCCCCTTTTTGTCGCCTTGTCGATGACACCGAGCCCTGCTACGAAGCTTACAGGGTTCATCGGGACAGCAGCACCATGAATCCCAAAGTCTTATGGTCTGTTCAACACGTGTTGTGTTGCAATTGGGTTTAAGGGCGTATATGGTCTTTATAGGATTTAAGGCTTGGGGCTTAGGCGGCTTAGGGTAAAAAGACCTCCCGCCCGAGCATTTTCAGTGTTGACTATGGCAAGTCACGCGCATGTCGCATATAAACCGCTGCCGCAGCTTGTAAGTCATGACAGCCTGCGGCTCATACAGATGCCGTGAAGCATCAACGCAAGCTTTGGTTGAATGCATAAGGCCCAAATCGACCTTGGCGGCAAGCACTTGCGCGCTGCACTCACCAGGTGCGAGCGATAGCAAGGCAGGCACTCCGTACACAATATATACTGCTGTCGGCTGCTCCGTGTACTTTTTCCTGGTGTGAATGTAGAGGTCTCTTGGTTCAGAGGTCTGTGAGGGGTTCATCAATCAAGGCGAGCATCAGCTGCATCCGTGCCAGTGCCGTGTGGGTGGGAGGAAGAAGAGACATCCATATGACTTACTGGACGAAATACTTTCCTTTAGAGCTTTGGTAACCCGCACGCCGGGCTACGACACTGTTCTGGGCAGAGAGTGGCAGCCTTCTGCTCAGACTCTGTGATCGAGCTCAAAAGACATCAGAAGACTAGGGTTGGTCGACTCAGTCTGCCCTCGTGCCCTCAGCTGTTGCCCTCAGCTCACATTGGTAGTTTCCACAATCATGTCCGCTGAGCTTTTCCGAGAGAGCGTGGACCTGCCGGGGCCTCGGGCATCGACTATAAGTGTTTAGGAAGTTTAGGGTTGAGGGTTTCTTGCGTCGAGCCCTTCGATGGATCAGTTCGAAGCCGAGCTATAGTTCATGCAACTTTTGCTGAAAAGACACACTTGTGTCTTTACGCGATTCCGAAACTTTGGTGAGTAGATGTTACTACCAGAGACAACTCTTGAGACCCTTCAGCTGTTCACTATGGAAAAATATAACCAATGAACCAATCAAGCAAAATCGAACCCCAAGCCCACGAGGCCCAATGGCCCTCTCCGGAGCAGCGCTGCCGAGATGCTCGCTGCGTACGATGCGGGCTGGCGCTCCGAGGCAGTGGGGTGGAGCAACATGAAGAAAGTGTATACATGTATGTATGCATATGCAGGGATCCCGCTCAACCGAGGCTGCTATGCAGCAAAAATGTAGGAGAACGCTGTGAGTAAAGTGCCGACATCGCGCTCACCGACTGCAGTATGTAAGGAAGAAATCTTCCATCGGAATGGAAATAAGGGCTTGGGCACCCTCAGGCACGGGGCCACACTCTTCATAAAAAAAGGCCTAAGGACGAAATCGTCTCTCGCAGGGCCTGGGCGCCCTCGACTGAAAAAATGAAGCTGCTGGGAAAGCCCGGAATGGGGGGAACCCCGCGAGAGCCGTTCTATGACTCTATGATTTATACGGTTTACTCTCTATGGTTTTGGGGTTAAGGGGTTTCAGATGGAGGGTTGGGGTAGCATTTAAACCTTAGTGCAGTATAAGGGTCCAGTGTGGAGGCTGCAGTAGTGTGTGATCCTGTGTGCGTGTTTCATTTTTCCCAAAAACATCTCGGATGTTGGGTGCTCGTTTAGGTTCAAAACGCGAGGGAGCGATGCCGGGGGATGGCGCGGGGGTGAAAGTGAAACGGGGATAAAACGAAGCGGGGAGGAAAACGAAACGGGGGATCAGAAGGGCGGGATGAAAACGAAACGGGCAGAACGAAACGGGGATGAACACGAAACGGGGATACCGGGGGATGGCGCGGGGGCGAAAGCGAAATGGGGATAGAACGAAGCGGGGATGAACACGAAACGGGGGATCAGAACGGCGGGATGAAACAAAAACGGGGATGAAAACGAAACGGGGACGAACACGAAACGGGGATGGCGCGGGGATCAGAACGGCGAGATGAAAACGAAACGAGGTTGAAACGAAACGGGGATGGCGCGGGAATCGCAAGGTGGCACGAAAACGCAAGGGGGTTGAAACGAAACGGGGATGAAGATGAAACGGGGATGAAAACGCAACGGGGATGGCACCTGCGGGGAGGAAAACGAAACGGGGATGAAAAGGAAACGGGGATGAAAACAGAGCCGGGAGGGGCGCGAGAGCGGACTGCGGCACGTCCGGCGGCGCGGCAAGCTGAGGGATTTTCGTTGAATTGTACTACAAGTGTAATGCTGGGAGGACAAAGCCGGAGGGGCGCGGGAGCGGACTGCTCCGCGTGCTGCGGCGCGGCAAGCTGAGGGATTTTCGTTGAAATGTATAGTGCAAATTGCTGGGAGGACGGAGCTGGAGGGGCGCGAGGGCGGACTGCGGCGCGTGCTGCGGCGCGTACGGCACGAGAGAGCCGGAGGGGCGCGAGAGCTGTCTGCGGCACGTACTGCGTCACGGGAAGCTGAGCGATTTTCGTTGCAATGATTTGCAATGTTTTGTTTACGACGCGTCAATATTGGCATGACGCAGGAGCCGGGAGAATTTCTTCTGAATTGTATTGCATCATAAGAAATATATATGTATTTTTGTTTACAAGGCGCATCGTTGAATTGTAGCACACGTGTAAACAGTAGCGCGTACTGCGGCGCGGGAAGCAGGGATTTTCGTCGTCCCGGAGGACGGAGCTGGAGGGGCGCGACGAATGTAGTGCTGGGCTCGCTGAGCCGGGAGGACAGAGAGCCGGATGGGCGCGGGAGCACGTCTGCGGCGCATCTGGAGAGCGTCATTGGCGCGGAGGGGGTTGCGTGTCGTTGAATTGTACGGTGTAGTAGTATAAAGTACAAATGTGGTACTGGAATCGCTGTGTCCGTGAGCCGGGAGGACAGAGCCGAAGGGGATCACGCGGGGTGCGAGATGGTGTGTTCCGCGTCAAGTACTGTATATAATCAACTACCCTACATCACCTTCTTATGTCTTGTTCTACTCTTGATGAAAATGCGCATACGAAGTGGACTTTAACGTGGGGATTTCATTCTTGCACTCTTGTAATTCGGATTGTTTTTGGGCTCCTGGCCTGACCTTGTTTTTTTGGATAGGTAACGACAGCTGGCGCTGCTACAGACGAAGTCCTCAAAAAAAACCAAGCCCCCTCCTACAGATTCCCAGCCCGGGGCTACTGTATAGGCCCCCCTAACATGGGGTAGCCAGGCCCCATCTACTACATATATATATATACACACACACACACACACTTCTTTTTGTGTTTATGCAGGGCATTGAAAATACGAGTGCG